GATTTTGGCATCCGAGCATCATGACCAAACAATGATCATGCATGATAAATTTTAAAGCCTTTGAATTGACTTTAAGATGAATGTAATATTATTCTTGATGAAAATTACATAACCTTATATAATGTTTTTTTTTTTTTTAAATACGCGTTATAACATTGGTAACTACTCTACAATAGGTTGTTCTACACATATTTTATAACTCTATTTATAAAAAGCTACAACCATTTCAAATAGACTCTTCATGTGTATATATACCAAATGCAATTTACTTATCACATGATGAGTTATCGCTTTGGATCTTAGGTATAATGATTCTATCTCAAAACTTATTAAAATTATATTTAAGATTGATTTGTAATCTTTGGATTTGATCTCGAGCCAATTATATATCATTATAGATTAGTTCGATCAGATATAACAAGTAACACACATTTCATATCACATATATTAAAATAACAAACACGAGATACACATCATACGCAATACTCATAGCATATAAACTTATTTAATATACTTATTAGTATACCTATAATATGCCAAAAAAATATATGTTGGATTATATGAATAGTAAATGAGTGCATATCATGTATTTCAACCTCGAATGCACTATATTAATTCCTAATCATTTTATACTCATTATATTCATTTCAATTAAAATAATATATAAGTAAATTTAATATAAGCTAGTTAAAATATTCAGGGGGTGATATCTACCACATATCAAAAGTTGCACAAAAAATCACTAAAATGAAAGAGATTGCATTTTTATCTATTTTAGGAGAGAGAAAAATAGGCAACATACAAAATCATTGAAAACAAGTGTAAGGTTAAGCTTATCTACTACAATGAAAATACTTTTTACAACTAGAGTAATGGAAAATAACAACCCAATCCCCCCCCACACACACACTCTCTCTCTCTCTCTCTCTCTCTCTCTCTCTCTCTCTCTCTCTTTCTCATCTCACTCTCTCACCAAGAATTTCACTATGAAAATTGAGAGAAATAGTATAGTTGTCTCTTCTCTCTCACTCTCTTCTTGCTTCTCTCACCTCTTGCACCATTCTCTTTCACAAAACACGAGAAAAAATAAGTTAATAACACCATGTGATGCAACCCTTGAGAAAAACGTGGAAGAAAACTATTTAGTCCGCCTCAATGCGTTGCGGTACTCAAACCTTTGATCCTGATCTGTCTAAAGATTCTGCAGCGCTCAAACTCGCATCGTTGTGGCGCCAAAAATATAGCACGATGGTTCTCTGCTATTTGTCATTTCTCCAAGCAAACTTTGCAGTACCAGGGCTCTTGGGAACACAACGCCGAGTACTCGGTTGGGTACACCCCGATAGGGCACAATTTCTTTCTCAAACACAAGCAGGTGGATGACCCCCTGCACTCCCAACAAGCACGAGAAATTGACTTGAGGTTCAGGGCAACAGTGCAAATTCAATTGATTGGCACAATTAGATTCCACAAAGACTAACAAGGAGATGGATGGCTTGGTTGAGGTTTAAGTCAAATGGAATTTGATATTTTAGTTAAAAAAACACAATTTTTTTGACCCAACGTTATGGCGCCTAGAACCCCAACGTCATTGCTCTCATTTATTTCCCAAAAGATCCAAGAGCTTGGCACCGCACCGCTTCCTCAAACATTTTTTTGGAATTTAGGAAACTAAATTTGAGGTTAAAACACCACCATTTCCTGATTACTTTCCTTCAAATACACTGATGCCACCTAAATTTATTGCTTGCTATCACCAACAACAATGACACATACACACCATCACCTACATGCCACTAACACTGACTTTTATTTTTTATTGCAAAATAATATTTGGTTATGAGCTTTATGATACCTAATTTTCTCTCCTCAAAGGAGAACGACCAAACATTCATCGAACCATCTCTTAAAGATAATTCTTATGCTGCATGGCTCCTCTAACCTCCATCATATAATTTATTCTTTATAATTTATGTCTATTATATTGTATCAATAACTTCTTGAGTTCACATCATTTTATGATTGATAATGTACAACAGTAAAATCATCTCAACTGAGTTGGCTTAAGTGGTATTTTTGTTATGAGTATTCTATATAAAAACTCTTGTGTCGGTTACAACTCTTTTCTTATATATGTGTGTTGAATCTTTGTTGAATATTGAGATGTTAAACTACTTCATTCTATCGGCATAAATATTTTGACACTTAATATGGTGCATAAGAGTTTGTGATTTAGTTTATTCAAAATAAATAAAAAAAGTTGTAATCAATAACTTTTCGGCATTTCACGGTCTCACTTTGATATTTATGTTTCAGAAGACACTAAAAAACGTCTGATATAATATTAAGTAGAAAATTGTTTATTTTTTTAAAGGTAAAAGTGAGCATTGAATATTCCAAAATGTTGAGGTATTATGAATTTTAGGGTTTAATATTTAGGGCTTAGAGTTGAGTTTAGGGTTGGAAAAGAATGTCAAACTTATTGGAATGGCCCAAGCAGGTTAGAGAGAAATGAGTGAGAACATAAGGCTACGAGTGAGAAAGGTGCTAACTAATATTTACGCATTTGAGGTTCAATAATCATGATCAAATATATGGTCATACCTCTGAGATAGCCAAATTGCCCAGACATTCATCCATGATGGTGAATTCCAATTTCACTAAGAGTCGTTTGATTTACTGAAAAAATAATGCATAGTAAAATGAAATACAATATAAATGAAATATTATGTATTTGAAATGTCTGTAGTGATTTGGATGAGTGTATAATAAATGCATGTAATTATTATTATTTTATTTGACTTCAAGTAAAACGAATGTAATATAATGCCCAAAGTTGATTATAGTCAATGGCTGATGGAAGGTTGTTAATGGTGGTAGTCAGTGGGAGATAATAGTGATAGAAAATTTATAGTGTATTTATAAATCTGTCAAATCTAACGATGTACACATACACTAAAATGGCAAAAATTGGAGATTAGAGTGCATGCTTTTACACTGTATTACTATTTAGAGAGAGAGTTTTTAAGGGTTCTAAGCATTTACAATTTTGGACAAGAGTTTGAGGTTTACTGTTTACAGTTTTTTAGGTTTCTTATTTAGTTTTTACGATCTATGATTAAGATTTTATGATTTAGGATTTTTAAGATATAGAATTTGGGGTATAGGTTATTGGCGTAATGATCCAACATAATGATTAATGTCTTATAATGTGTACAACAACAACATCAACTCTTTATCCCACTACGTGGGGGGTCGTATAATGTGTAAATTATTAAAATTTAAAATGGCTTTGATGATAGCATTCATTTTATATCATATTTGTTTAAATAAATGAATTTTGAAGGAAAGATTTGCTCAACATAAAATAAATAGAAAACAAATAAATAATGCCAAATTTACTTTATTTATTTTATAATAATATGCAAAATGTAATTATGCTAAAATTAAAATAATGTTATAAAAATTTTAAATTATATTTTAGTCAGATCATCAGATAAAATAAACGAATTTTACTTTGGGATCCTTGGTGCAATTGATTTTCTATTGCTATATAAACTTTTGGGAGACTCACTCTATACATATCCATTATGTTTAAAATGACTGGAAGGTTGCTATGGTCCTTAACGGTGATTGTTGAGCCTTACCTAACTGTTTTGATCATACGATTTCAGATTCGGTTCAGATATCCCCATTACTTCCATGCCTGAAAATCACAATTTGATGGGGAATGATGATCCAAAGTTTAAACAATTCAACTTGCAATTCAACTCTACTTATGATGTTGTCCCTTGGCATAAAAAATATGCTATAAGATTCTCTGCTTTTGCTTGGATGGCGATAAAAGGGGGTCTTAAAACAGCAAATGTTTTATCTGCCAGTGGGATACAAACTACACCCAACTGCTGTTTTTGCACTATTCCCCAGAAATCTATATCACACCTCTATTTTGAATGCGATTTTTCCTTTAATATCATAAAGCAAATTATGCCTTGGCTGGAGAGTTTCTTTATGAGACTGAACTTTCATCAAGTCTTTGATAGTATTCAAAATCGAGGTTTTATTGGAGCTCGTAGAAGTTTTTACTTGCTTGCCCTTTGTGCCGTTATCTACCATAAATGAAGAGCAAGGAATGACATAATTTTTGGAAAGGTTTATGACTACCAAACTACTGTGTCTTTTAAAATAAAAAAATCCCTCTTGCGCAAGATTTCAAACTGAGAATAAAAATTTTGATGCTGCAATGAGTCTTCCATTGTTTCCGTTGGATTTCTTCTCCTTGATGCATGGGAGTTCATTATTTTGGAAGGACGATGATGATTGCTGGGTTTCCCAACAGCCCTTGGACGATCACTGGCAACTAGGGGCCTCGCTCTTGTGCGGCTTTCTGGTGCAATTTTTGTCAGATTAGTGTAATCTCAGCAGCTACCCGAGTCCTTCATACCCTCATTCTTGAGGGTTTTTGTTTTCTTTTGCTTTGGGTTTTATTTTAGTTCATGATCTCCCTTTTGTTGTTGAGCTTGAAGTTTTAACTTCCCTTTTACACGTGTAAACTTTTTTATATATTGACGGGCTATGCCCCAAAAATTTTCCCAAAAAATAAAAGCTTTGTTTGTGGGCTCAGTGTTTCTCCTATTTTGGATGGTGGGTGTACTGTCTACACATAAAAGTAATTTTAATGAAAATTTATCTTTTTCATGTTGCTGTTTGCTGTTTGCTGTTTGCTGTTTGTTGCGATGTGGCAACGGATCACATCGTATCACTGTCTAAGTTGGTGACTGGCGAGACATCCGCATCCAAATGGAGAAAATTTAGGTCAGTATTTGATCAGAATATATTTTATACTAATTGATATAAAAATTAAAATTACCAGTCTTGACCCTTCCCTCTAATGTCGCAGTAAAATTAGAAACCTGCCCTTAGTGGCAGTTTCGGTATTTATTACAAAACCCACAATCTTTAGTCCTCACGTCCTCTCCCTCTTTTCTACTGCCCCTTCGTCTCGGTTTCCATCTCGCTACAAAAGCTTACAGAAAAAAAAACGCAGCCCAGAAGCAGAGCAAAGAATTCAGAGAGAGAGAGAGAGATGGGGGAGAGGACGACGCCATCAGAGATGGTGGAGACTAGTGTGGCGACGAGGTCGTCTGTCCTAGATGCGTTGAAGGGCTTAGGAGGGGCAGCGGCGGGGGTGCGGGTAGATAAGGAGGAGCTGAGGAGGAGGATCTTGATCCCGGCGGACCTGGCTGCGACGATGCGGGAAGCGATCAAGTTTAGGGACCCGGGTGCTGCTGCGAGGAAGTACGCCGACGCGGCTGCTGAGAGGGCGGTGGTGGAGCCGCCGGAAGCGCCGTTGGTGGTCTTTGTGAACTCGCGCAGTGGGGGCCGACACGGACCGGAACTCATGGCTAGGTTGCAGGAGCTTATGGGAGAATATCAGGTTGGGATTTTCTCTCTGTTTCTCTTGCTGGAAGCAGATTTCGGTTTCTGGTTTTGGACTTTATGTAGGAGTTTGCGGGTTTTCTTGGGATCACATACACTATACGACGGTTTCTTGGAATATTATGGCATGACTGGTTTAGTTAGAACTTTGATCTGGGTTTTTGAACTATTTCATGGTTTTAGCGGTTTTCTGTTTTTTCCCCTCTTATTTTTGGGTTTATGTTATTTTGGGTTGAGAAGAAAAGCATGGTATGGTTCTTTCTATGCTTCCTGCCTATGACCCCCTTTTTTTTGAGGATTTGCGATTGTTTACAGTCTGCGGTGTTCTGTGCTGCAGGTTTTTGATCTATCTGAAGTAAAGCCCTCCGATTTCGTGCAATACGCGTTGCTATGCTTGGAGAAGTTGGCGGAATCCGGTGATGTAATTGCGAAGGTCACTCGAGAGAGGTTGAGGGTTGTGGTATGCTGATTTGATGTATAATAATGAACATCTTGACTTAAAAGTGATTTAGTAAAACATCCAAGATTAATATGCTAAAACTGTATGAGCTATTGATTGGCAGGTCGCGGGAGGTGATGGCACAGTAGGTTGGGTATTAGGATGTCTAGGGGAGCTTTATGCTCAGAACAGAGAACCAGTTCCTCCTACTGCAATTATTCCACTTGGTACGGGTAACGATCTTTCTAGGAGTTTTAATTGGGTAAGGAGCTGTTCTTCTAGTAAGTTTAGATTTTGTAGGCCAATGGTGTTGTTATCTGGATTTTTGTTATTTCAACGTAGGGCGGTTCATTTCCATTCGCCTGGAGATCGGCTGTAAAACGCTCGCTTCTTAAGGCAGCTAAAGGTCCTGTCTGTCGTCTGGATAGGTGACATTTATCTCTAATTTTATCTTGTTAATATATGTTTAATTTCTGATAGTATTATTCAGCTTCTTTTCTAAAATTCAACACCAGAACATTTTTTGTGACATGCTATGGCTTTGCATCTATTTTGGAGAATTAGTTGGGACACTAATGACTTCTGGCATGGCATAATCAATGTAAACATGTTGTACCATTAGCATTGAAGCTAGGGAAATATTGATATATGTCATAATTACAACATTATGATAATTGTTTCTGCAGTCCTGTAGTAGTATTTGCCATTTGGTATTTTGGAGTGCAAAACACATTGGCTAGCTTAGGTTTGTTTTGAAACCATCTGTTATATCTCTATGGGATCTTCAGTTGTACGTTCATGTGTAAAAATTTGGTTTAGATTTTGTTTTTTTGTTTTGTTTTTGGATTTAAATAACTTATCTTCCTTTATACTATTTTTAGAGCAAGTTAATGAGAGAAGGAGAGAATTATGAGAGCATGCCTGCAAATCCAAGGTTTCAATTACATTAGTAGTTTCTGGTTGTTTTGACATAAACTAATGGCTGTCATTTTTATTTTTTGCAGCTGGCATGTCACCGTCACAATGCCGGAAGTGGAAAAATTAGAATTGCCGCACTCTCTTAGGCATAGAGAGCAACCTAACTTCAGTCAGGTTGTGAAAGTAGTATAGTTCTCATTAACTAATTTGAAACTTAAGGGAGCTTTTTCTTAAGCTGGAACAAATTATTACTTCCATAAAATATTTAGAATCTAGGTTGATCAATTTTATTCATCTTACTCTTGATTTATTGAAAAATTTTCTATACTCGCAGTATTCTGTAATATCAGAATTCTTATGGCTTTTATTATTCTGTTTCATTATGATATGGCTTAGTTCTATTCTATGTTATTTATTATTATTAATGTTTTTCTTTTACAGGAGTTTGATATCGATGGTAATTTACCGGACAAGGTTTCATGCTTTGAAGGGGTCTTCTATAACTATTTTAGTATTGGTAATACTACACTTAAGATTTCTCTCCTGCATTAATACATTTTCTTGAAGTTTATGCATTATTTATTTATTTTTTGACCATAGTTAGTTCAACCATGGGTTGCCCGATAAATATTTTTTTGACATCATATTACTCCATGTTTGAAATACCTTACTGATGCATGATTTGTTTGTCCATTTTTTATGCAATGCTTTTCTATACAGGCAATTCATAATATTTATGCTCCAAGAATTGTCCTTACTACTTCTTAAGAAGCATTTTTTGACTGTCATTTCTTGTTTGAAGCGTTGTAATGAATTTTTATATGATGATATGAAAATCATTTTAGTTATAGTTGCACGGGTGTCAAGTTGGAATTCGGTAATTATTTTATTTTAAAATTGAGCTTTTTTCTATTTAAACTCCTATATCGTTTGGTTTAGTTTTGGATAATCTAGCTAAGCTCACGTTATTACCTTATTATTAAACTGTGACATTGTTGCTGTAATAATTCAAAGGAAGAATAAAGGTATGGTTTAAAATGCTATTTACTCAAGCAGTCGAGCTTATTACTTAATCTTGCTCAACATGACATGTTTGAGTCATGAGGTTGCATTTTTTTATTTTTTAGTTTCTTTGTGTTTATTTCATGTATACTAATTTTCTAATTTCATGATGAAGGAATGGATGCTCAAGTTGCTTATGGGTTCCATCATTTACGTGATAAAAATCCAAACCTTGCACGAGGTCCAGTTTCAAACAAGGTGTTGTTTAGGCTTCTTCCAATTTGTTTAGCTTGGAATTTATAATTGAAGTTACGGCTTTTCATTTCTTATTTCTTGTTGCCTTCATTTTCTATATAGTAAATTGTCCTGACAATAATTTCTTCTTACGTCAGATGCAAGTTTCTTACCACATGGCTTGGAATCTGCATTTATGTCATATATTTATGCTTGCTCATGCTAAGTTTTAGTCGAGAAAAGCCTAGCGAAGATGCTTTCTTTATTTTTTTGTGCGCACATTGATGCATGGTATTCTATTTCATGAAGTCTTTGTGCTAATCTGCCATGATTTGTAGGTATAAGTGTTGTTCTTTACTTCACATGCTCTATGAAATTTAGACCGCTTGTCTCTGTGGAAAATAAGGATCCAAGCAATATTCAACTTCTAGTTGGTTTTGTTTGATCAGTTCATGCTTTTATGCTCTGTAAATTTTTGGATGAAAATTTTTGGTTTGTGGCTCTTATGTTTCGAGGAAATACTACAGATTACACATGAGAAGCGTAGGTGAATTGGCAGTGCCCTTTTTGCTGGTCATCTATTGGTACCTTGCTATAGAATCGGCTTGTGAACTCTAGATGGAGCCATTAATGGATAAGTTTGTTAATTTTATTTGAAGATTAGAAATCGCTTAAAAATTGATTGATTTTTTGTCTTCTATTAAAACCGATTATAAATTAGTGGGCCAACTATGTAGCAATGCTTGGATTGAGCTTAGTTGAATTGAGCTAAAGTTCGAGGGCAGATCAAAACATGTACCACTATTTTGCATGAATGTGTGTATACATTATTTTTGAAAGCATTTAAACTTGTATTAATGTGTTTATGCATCTCTATATTGAAGGATGCATGTATGTATATTGGACTAGCAATGTCTTACAAGATAGGAGATCAATTGAAAATTGAAAAGGGTTTCAGCTTAGAAGATAGGCTCAAATTTACATTGATTTTGGTTTAAAGTAATCTTGTACTTGAGTTTATCAACATCATAATATTAGCTTTATCCTATCTATTTAAGTTTGGCTTCGTAAATTTTCATTTTTCATTCAATTTTGTTGATTATTGTATGAATGTGTTAAATTTATTCTTTGTAAATCATTATCCATGCTATTTAAGATTTATCCTTTTTCCTTCCTAATTTTCCAGCACTAGGTTTATTTATCTTCATGATAGGAGTATTTTTTGACTTTTGTTATCCATTTCTAAATCACCTAAGTCTATTTTCAACTATTTTACCTTCAATAGATTCCACTTTATCATTCTTCTAACATATCATTCTTTAATTTATCCCTTTAACTTTTCTCATAACTGTCTTAACATTCTTATTTCTATCATGGTCTTAAGAACTCGTAGCAACATCAAAATTCTTATGAACAAACAAAAGTGTTTCAATGGAAATGATTAATGCTATAAGAAACAGTTCATAAGAAGACATATAGTTGGTAAATATTTTACTAAGGCTCTGATGCAAATTTGAAAATAAGCATCCATCAACATTGTAAAGGCCCAATGTGGAATATGGAAGTTATTCTTAAACCTAAAAACTCAGAAGCCACGAAAGGAATGACAATGGTGATTCTCTAGTGATATGCATTTGATGAAATTGCTTTTATACCTCGAAGTAGAATCTGTCCAGAAATTTAAAGTCAGATGTTATAAAATTTTCTCGTATTAGTGGATTTTCCTGTACAGCTTTAACCTAGTATTGCAATGTCATTTAGCACAAGTTTACTACCTGCATCCCTGCTCTACTTGTTTCTTCATTATAGATATGGAAATGAATGTAGTAGCACTCATATTGTCTAATTTATTTCATGTTCTTCATTCCAGCTAATCTACAGCGGATATAGCTGCACTCAAGGATGGTTTTTTACGCCCTGTGCAACTGATCCTAGTTTAAGGTTAGCAGCTTGATGCATTAAAGTTGCAATTCTTTTAAGATTTTTATACAAAATTATGTTATCTTTAGAACTTATATGAATTTCATTATCTTTGCAAGTTGTGCTATTTATATGCCAAATCAATTGAACTTCATTAACATTTGGAGTATTTATATGATTGCTTGAAAGCTGAAACATATTGCGGGAGTTTGGCATGTTATTGTCTTGGGGATTGTGTCAGTGCCTTAATGAACTAAAATATAACCAAAAGTTTAAAATTGATTTCTGAGGCTATTTTTTTCCTCTTCGGTATGTCGATTGACATTCTATTCTGAATTATGCCTTTCACTGGTCATAAACTGCCTTGAATACATTATGGTTTAGATATCAAAAGAGAATGAATCATTGATCATGCTTTGAGAGGGTTTGTTTGGATCTATGCCAAAACGGGAATGGGTTAAAAATCATGTCACAATTGAGTTCCAAACCTTATCCATTGCTTTCTTCAAAATAAATTAAATCCATGTTTCTGGCATTCAGCTTATTTTTATGGTGACCCCAAAAAGGAAACCCTGTAGTATTTGATTCTTGGAATTCCAACTTAAGACCTCAGGTAATTTGGGGCATATTGTCGCAAAAGTTTTTGTTTATCTTTTAGAGCGCTGCTTTCCTTTCTTTCTTTATTGCATGCCTAATATCTGCAGTTATTGCAAATTTACTGATGTATAATTTTGAACCTATTCATTCAGAGGACTAAGGAACATTCTACGTATTTATATAAAGAAAGTAAATTGTTCAGAATGGGAGGTAATTCCAGTTCCAAAAAGGTAAGCTATCTACTTCATTTTTTATCTGAATTTGGATAAACAATGTTGCTTGCCTGTTATTGTTAGAATTTTTTTAGTAATATGTTTTATTAGTTTGTACCAGTTAAGAAATGATTTGCTCTAGAGTCAAAATGTCTTTGGTTTGGCAATTTCTTCCGGTTTTCTGTTTTTTTTTGTGTTTGGGAATTCTCATACTTGGTCTTTGACTGCAGTGTAAGGTCAATAGTTTGCTTAAATCTTCACAACTACGGAAGTGGAAGAAATCCTTGGGGCCATCCCAAGCCTGAATATCTCGAAAAGGTGAAGAAAATTTACATCTGCCTGTGCGCTTGATCTGTACAAGGATGGTTTTTTTGTTTTGTGATATAAACTCTACTTCCTGTGTTATCTTCAGCAATTATATTTGCGTTTAAACTCTAATAATACTCTTCATCAGAAGTTTATTCATTTCTGCTCGGGAAGCCCAGCCTAATCTTCATAAGTGGTTAATGTGAAATTGACTGCCATCTATTTGATAACATGTACGGGCGTTTGAAGGCATGCTATGTCTGTGAAATTCCTTTACTTGAGCATATGCACGTTTCATATGCTTTCCTTCCACGAAACCGTCAAGCAATTCATAGATGTTTCAATAAAAACTAGATATTGTTCTATTATTTATTAATATCAGTTGACAAAGTGCATCTGTTGTTCTTGACTTATCATTTTGCGTAACAGAGAGGCTTTGTTGAGGCCCATTTGGATGATGGCCTCCTTGAAATCTTTGGCCTTAAGCAAGGTTGGCATGCTTCAGTCGTAATGGTTGAGCTTATAACTGCCAAGCGCATAGCTCAGGTACTTAATTATTTCTTTCACGTACTTACAAAGTCTCTAATATAAGTTGAACTTTTGATGAAATTCAACTCTTCTGGTGATGGCTATAAGTTTTTCACACACTATAACTGTCATTTGTCATTTTGAGAAGCTTTTTTTCTTCTTTTTATGTTGGTAGTTGTTACTATGATGATGTTAAGCTTTTAGTTGTGATGCATTTTCATTACTTGTGCTTTTTAGTCATAGTCAATGGAGTATTTAACATAATAACATCTGTATCTGACCTTGTTGATTGGGTTATACTACCTTGTGTATTGCTTCAGATAGTGAACTTGAAAGGTTTTGAAAATCGTTATCATCATCATCATCATCATTATCAGCCTTCTGTCAAGTAGTTAGGGTTTGACTTTATACATGTCCTTTTTTTCATTCATTATTGTTGAGCGGCACAAAAAAATTTGTTAGAGTAGGAAAACATCAAGATAGGAAATTAATTTATATTTAATGAATATGAATATTTTTCTATTTCTTAGAATGTTATATTAAACTTTTTATGAAATATTTCCTTGTGAATAATACACAAGAAAGAGATTTCCTCTCTAATATGGTATCAGAGTTTGGTTAGCCTAACCCGTGGTGCTCCTCTCTTTAACCCGAGCACATCCTCTCAAGCCTACACTTGCGTCTGAGACCTTGCCCCTTCTCTGAATATCTCACAACCAACATATCAAGCTCACCTCATACATTCAACCTGAGCTTGTGTCATTTTCTTGCATTTGCATTCTTCGTGCATCGGATTCCACAATTGAGCTTGTACATCAAGCTCATTTGTTGCCGCCATTGTTTTCATAAACACGCTTAGCCATGCATAGCATTTTTTACTATTTTTGTACTCACTTTCTCATGCTTGATTGCTAGAACACATCGTCTTCTACTTCAATAAGCCATCACTCGTCGTGGTCTTTGTTTATGGCTTCCTATACACCTTTTCCCATGATGAAAATATTGTCCACGTGATGCGGACATCAGACCCTTAATGTTCCATCAGGGACATGGCTAATGATCGACGGCTATGATGACGCCTTTTTTTCATTTATATGTGATGTATTTATTTATTTACTGTCTTTTTTCCATTTATGCCCTTGCTTAAGGGATTAGTTCTTTGTAAGCCCCGAGGGCATTGTTGTCTTTTATTTTTTCCTTATTGTATTTGTCTATTTAAATCCCTCTTCTTCTTGGAGAAGGGCTAATGAAGATTATTATGAAAATTTCTATGTTTTACTCTTGTGAGAGTTTGAGAGTTCTTAGAGAGAGCTTTGAGAAAGTCCCTTGGTGAAGAGCAACGCAATACCCACCAACCTTGGAAGCGTTCGGGTTTGTGGTTCTCTTTACCCTATCTTTTTCTTTCCCCCTTACTCCCACATCCTTTTCATCCCATAGCTTCCCCACTTCATATCCAATCTCCACCAAAATTATCAAAACCCGACGGCAAGCAATCAACCCACCCATTCCCTTCCTCTTGTCGCCGCCCCCACCAACCCCCCCTTTTTCGTTGTGATGATGATCTCAATCATCATGCTATCTTCCAAATTTAGTTGGGCTTGTGAGGGAAAATTGGAGTCAATTTGAAATTCAAATTTTGAATTTCAAAACTTTCCAATTTTGGAAATTCCTATTTAGGAAAGTTTTATTCATGACTTCAATTTAAATTTCAAACAAATTGGATGTTATAATCATTTTCCTAATCCACAATCCCTCTTTGGAAACTCCCCAAACCTTTCCAAAATCCCCTCCCTCTCTCTCTACATGCCGTCGACCACCATGTGGCTTTCCTCCCATTAAAACCACATCAATGCATTAATTGAAAATTAATTTGAATTCAAATTTCAAATTAATTTCCCCACCACCGGCCTCACCACCTCGCCTAACATAGGATCCCCACATTAAATTCCCTATTCAATACCTTCCATATTTGTCCATAGCATTTTTGGGAAGAATTCAAATTCAAATCGAATTGATTTGAATTTCAAATTTCTTTCCAATTAGCCCAAGTCATTTAGGAAAGCAATTCAATCTAATAAAATCTGAGATTAATTTCAGATTTTAATTCCCCATCGTCATTAATGCCGTGGACCACATACAACGAATTTAGACACAAATTTCCCCCTTTCTCTCATGGCCGGCCTACCCCTCATTAATTTCTTCTTAATTCTCGCCTCAATCAATTATCATTCAATCCCCCAAATTACGCCCAATTGAAATTCAAATTAGAGTTGATTTGAATTAGCCCTTAGACCTCTCTCTTTTCTCCAAACGGAACAAGAGAGCCTAAAATCTTCCTAACGGGATTGCTGTTCAGAAGTTCAGAGAATTGGTAAACTGCTGTCCACTAAATTCTGCACATCCCCACCAGCTGATCCGGAATGTGTACTTGCTGTCCAATTGATCAGATAAGTCCCCGTCCACTGCCTGAGACTTTTTTGGGTATGAGAGTGTGCTGTCCTGAGAAAACCTGCACCTGTTTCTTGCTGTCCAGCCAAGTGGAAGGTCTTCAAATGCTGTCAGGACGCGTCAGATTGCTGATCACACCTTCAAGAAGGTTCGTGGATGCCACCTACCTCCTTCCAAGCCTTCCTATGACCACAGGAGCCTCGTATACTTCATACTTCGGGTAAACTCGACCTCCGACTCTTTTAGCCTCTTAGTTTATCTCTCCCACGTGGTTATATTTTGATTCACAAAGATGTTGTTGGTCCCTCCGCTAAGCCTAGTAATAGGAAGAGTTGAGTGAAGGGTTCCTTGTAGTAGCTAGTCTTAATGTTAACGAAGGGATTTATGGTTGAGACCATTCACGTATGCAAAAGTGTAGATTAAATTGATTGATTTTAATGCTCTTAACTTCTATGCATGTAAATTAACCAACACTATTTATCACTTTAATATTTTATTTTATCGTTCAAACCAACATGAGATCTTGCTTATTATTGTTCTCTAAAACTAAACGTGCAAACATCCTTTAAGCATATCTTCTCATGATTGTTCTACATCACCACGTTTGTTACAACTATTAAATTTAATGGTATCAATCATATCATGGTCTAAGGCTTCCAATTTCCTCTTGAGATGTAATGAGAGATTGAATCATCTTGACTCTCCGCTTTTTGAATGGACGGACACCATCAAATACATCGCATGATAAGTTTTTCATTATGTTGTTCTCATATGAATGCTCAATATCCTTTAATTCACTATTGCATTTATAGTTATTATAAAGAGACTACTAAATGGAATGTGAGGCTTTCTATGTTCCACCAAACTTTGGGAGAATCTCTTTTGAGTATGCATTCTCTGCTCAAAACCTTATTCTTTGAAACAAGGTTAAAAATCTATTCAGGAGTTGCTTCACCTTGATGGGAAAAGTATATGAACTTAGTTAACATTGCCTTCTTTATCCTTGATCCAATCACTTGGCAAAAACAAAACAAATAGTTTCTTCTTGCTAAATTCATTTTTTGGCTTCATTTATATTTACCATTTATTTATTCTCAATTTATAGTGCACTTTGCATCCCCTCATATCTTCGTTTCTCATATTTTTGGATTTTTGAATTACCTAATCTACATTCTATTGTGATCGTATTGATCCGGACATCCTGTTTTTGGAACAAAGGGTGGTCATAGTCATCATATCATGGCTGAGGCAGTTGTGGTGGTGTTCATAATGGTGGTTGCAACTCCTTTTTTTTTGTTTACATTTTTACATCCGGACATCCTATTGAGAATTTAACTCTAACATGACACAATGGAGAAAAAAGACTCATGTAGTCGACCCCGCATAGTGGGATTAAGGCTTGATGTTGTTGTTGTTGTTGTTTTAGCATTGTTAAATGACATATCACCTTGGCCAAATTTTAAGGAGGAACTCATTATTTTTTAAAATTAACTAAAGGATCATATTTAAAAAATAATTTAAAATAGAGAAAATTCGCTAAATATTTTAGCGCATTCCAAATACGCCAAATTATTTGGCTTAATCTGAATGCCCTTTATACTTTAGTGTATTCTGCCTAAATGGAGAGAGAAATAAGCGAGCGACATAAGGAGAGAGAGATAGGGAGGGAGAGAGAGAGTACCAGTTAGATGTGGAGAGAGAGATGAGGAGGGGGGAGAGAGAGAGTACTAGTAAGATGTGGAGAGAGAGAGATGAGGAGATACTATTTATTTATTTCTTTATATAATGTTATATGAATAGAACTTAACCTATCTCATCCAACTTCACTAGTGCTCCTTTAGGACCGATATGGTCCCTCAACTCTTTGTGAGGGATCAAAATAGTCTCCAACTATTTTGATTTGGTCCCTCAAATTCTCTAAATGAGACTTTTTTAGTCCTGTCATCTAATCGCAGGGTTGATGGTGTTAAGTATAAGGGTAATTTAGTCTTTTTTTAATTAAAATATTTAATAAATGCAATTTTTTAAAGATTATAAATTTTGTAAAAAAAATTATTAAGTTTTTCTTTAATAAAAAAATTATACACAATTTCTTTACCCCTTCTCCACTGTTCGTTGCTCTTCAACTTCGCCTCCTTTGCCTGATAGGTAGAGTTTTGAATGACTAGCTAAATAACTTCTGCACCTCCTTCGGCGACATTCCTTCCTTTCGGGTCCGAAATCACCCTTCATCGTTTGTCTGTTTGATTGGAAGTAATGATGACGATGAGAGCTTGTTGGTTGCGAAGCTAGCCATCTTTCTTCCGTTTGCGCGCTTCTTTGGCCAAATCAACTGCGATCGGTAGTAACAACGATGACAGGAGCTTGCTCGTTGTAAAGGTAGCCATATTTCTTCTGTTAGTGCGCTTTGCTTGTTCCGATAATACCCTCATGTCCATCTCACTTTTACATTTAAAATTGACGGTAGGGCCAAAATAGTTGCTTTTGTAATAGTTGAGGATTATTTTGATCCCTCACAAAGAGTTAAAGACTTGGGGACCATTTTGATAATTTTCTCAATTATTATTTCATACGGGTAATATGGTTACTTTTTACAAATTCTAAGCCCCCCATTTCGGTTTCTCATGTTGCCCTTTTTGGCATGCTTTGATTTTTATATATTGGTACTTTTCTCCCCACGTGACGAGTAACTACGAAATTTTTTTTTATTACACACCAAGAAATATGTTTCCCATGCTAAAAATAGGATCTCCTTATTTTATCGTCCTTTTCACGTTTCAACGTGCCTATATTGGCATATTTAGATATCCGAGAATCAAGTTATGTCTACTTTTTTTGGGTTTTCATTATTTTATTTTCTTCATAAATGATCACACCAGGAATATTTAGGTTTATTTATCAAGCGTTAGTTAAAAGTTCTCTCTGTGTTAAAATCATTTTATTAAAATATAAAAGCATACTGAAAACTATTTGCACTATTAATGCTCTCGAATATGTTTCTTTTGTTTTTCGCTTCTTTTTTGTTGAGAATTGTATTGCTCATCAATCATGATATCATTAATCATCCACGGTCCTTTTTTATTAATGTTTCATATATAAATCACTATTTGTTGATTTATTTAATCGCAAATCTTTACGATATAGTTCTCTTTACTGTGTGAACTTTCAGGCTGCTGCAGTTAGGTTGGAAGTCAGAGGCGGTGCGTGGAGAAGAGCATACATGCAGATGGATGGGGAGCCATGGAAGCAGCCGCTTGAAGGTGAACACTCAACAATAGTTGACATAAAAAGAGTACCTTATCAGTCGCTTATGATCACCGGGTAATTGTAACTTTTAGGCTTGGTTTGCGACAGTTTCTTTGCTGCTTTCTAAAATAATTTTCTAATAGAAAAATTTCTCAAATTCTTGAGAAATTTTTTTACTAAAAAGTAGTTTTATTGCGTGGAGAAGAGCATACATGCAGATGGATGGGGAGCCATGGAAGCAGCCGCTTGAAGGTGAACACTCAACAATAGTTGACATAAAAAGAGTACCTTATCAGTCGCTTATGATCACCGGGTAATTGTAACTTTTAGGCTTGGTTTGCGACAGCTTCTGCTTTCTAAAATAACTTTCTAATAGAAAGTAGCAAAAAAAGCTATCCTAAACAAATCAGTAATATCTTTGTTCTTGGGTTATATTCTTCTTAATAGTTGAAAAAAAAATCTGTTGTAGAGCATATGATGATCATTTTTTGCCTGCTATGTATTTAAATGGATCAATGTTACCTTGTATAATAGTATCATTAGATGTAGAGGAATTCATTTACCAGGGGACCGTTTGGAATTATTTTTATTTTTGTTCTTGATGTTTAGTTCTTTATTGTATTTTAATAAGCCATTTATGATGTCTTTGACCTCGATAAAAAATTGTGGTAGTCTTCTCGAGTTCTATATAGAATTGTTTGCCTCGTCATCAACTGATGGTTAGTTGGTTTACTGATTTGGTGTGGCAACCTACTTGAACTTGATGCATCAACGTGGATCAAGAGCGATTTTAGCAAAAAAAAAAAAAAAAAAATGATTGCCAAACTTCTGCCTTGAGATTTGTGCCCGATCAAGATAATTTTTTGATGATATATCAAAACTCATCCATACAATGTAAAATCGTGTCTGTGCTTGCTGAGTGTGCAAATGCTATGCAAGTAGGGGTGTCAATTTTTAACCCGAACTGAAATCCAACTTTTAAAAATTCAGGTTTAGGTCAACCTGTTTGTTAAACGGGTCGGGTCCGGGTTTGAATTTTCGACCTGTTTGTTAAACGGGTTGGGTTTGGGTTCGACTCGGAAACCCACGAGTCGACCCGAATTGACCTGTTTATATTCTATAATTCCAAAATTTCAATTCCCGCCTAACTTTCTCGTGTATGCCCATCACTATCAACCAATTTCATCTGTCGCGTCTGTCCATTGCGGTCAACTCATCATGCCGCGTCGCCGCTTGTCCGGGCCAGTCGACAGTAGCGTTCGCTCATGCACGACGTTCGTGCCACTCCGCCAAACGCCAGTCGTCGAGTCGCGTCACTCCGCCTGTCCGCCAGCTGCTCCGTCCATTTCTAACACAACCTCTGCGGCTTGCAGGCAGCACCGCAGTAGGCCGATGTCGACCCTACTCTCGCCATGCCGTCGATGCTGTCTAGTCTGACATCGCCCAGCTTTTGAATTAAACAGGTTCGCGGGTTGGGTCGGGTCAACCCGGCAACTCGTGCGGTTTGGGTTCGGGTTTATTATTTTGATCCGTTTATTTAAACGGGTCGCGTTTGAGTTGGCCCGTTTATACCCGGGTCAAGTCGGGTTCGACCCGAACCCGACTTGTCGACCCGAATTGACACCCCTATATGCAAGTGAGTTTTTACAGGTCAGGTTGTGGATTGGTCACTTTCAAATCCATCACATTATTTGATATATAAGGAAGCAAGTAGATACTCTGTAATGATCATGATAACTGTGGTCTGTTAATGCATCTTAATCATTCACTTCATTCTGGATGATTGAGAATGAATTAAGAAATAGAAAACTTTTGGTTAGTTTTTGAATGCAATCCCTACATCCAAACTGAAATAGATAACTAGGAAGCATTAGTTGCACCTTTACAATCAATGTAATAATAAAGGATTTGCATGTCAGAAAAAAGATTATGCCTAATAATATTTAGCTACAGAACCCTAAATTTTGGAAAAAAAAATTGCTTTGAATGATAAATAATTGCAAAAGAGATTAAATATTAAAAAAAAACACCAAAAAAATGTTTGTATTTAGCATAAATAGTCATCTATGAAATAAAAATGATATAATCCATTAATAAGTTATAATCAGTGCCCAACAAAATGAAATTCAATGTACATTCCCTTAGAAGTTATTTAAAAATATTCAATTTAGAAGTTATTTAAAAATTATTATTGATTCAGAGTTTTTATGATACGTATTCTGCACACACATTTTCTCCTATATGCTCTCTTCTCAATACTTTTCCAGTTCTAAAAACTCGGAATCATATAATATTTTTATGGCAATGATGGTTTATGGCCTTATGATTCAATTTATAGAGCCCTCAACTCAAGAAAATATAATAAGTGAATGCAAAATCACCTAATATATATTCAAGCTTTCACACTGAAGGCTTTCATGTTAATGCAAAATTTAGATCTCATTTGTGACTCTCTCCAAGTTGAGAACTCTAAGATTTCAAAGCCATAAAGGTTTCAACAGCACATAATGTCATCGGACGCAAATACTACTTGATCTAAGAACATACGAGTCACATTTAGCATAAATTTTGCTTTCTGATGTGGTACCATGAACTTGATCATGCACTTGAGGCTACCACCCTTAAAAAGAATGCCTTAGCCTAATATATTATTACTAGATATGAAATTTCAATATAATAGTAGGTTTATGATGCCATCAATGTGGCTTGAATACATTCCACCGACCTCTGTTGCTCGAATACATTCCACCAAACTTTGTCGCCTGTATATGGTACCTTGACCACTATCTCCCACCTGTGATACCTCGATATTTTTGCCTAACTACAGTCACTTGATCACCATCACTTAATTATAGACTCACAAGCAACATTGCTCCACTATAATCTTTAGACCTCCATTGTTAAACTACGGTCTCCCAGCTATGATTGCCCCACAATTTTCTCTTGGCCTCCATAATTCAATCATGATCGCTTGACCACCATCGTTTGATTTTGATCTTTCCACAACCATTGCTCAACTATGTACCCATCCCCTAGCCACTATCGTCTGACTACAATCTTCTAACCATCGTCACCCTTTTATGATCTCTCGACTATCATTTGTTGATTATGATCTCCTATCTACCATGGTTTGACTTTGGTCTCTTGACTATCATTGCTAAACTATATTTTCTCGATCACTATTGCCCGATGGTGGTCATGACTATCTCCTCACCATTGTTGTCTTACTATGATCCTTTGATTACTGATGACCAACAACAATCTCTCGACTATCTCCTCACAATTGTTGTCTTAAAACTATCATTTGTTGATTATGATCTCCTAACTATCGTTTCTCGGCTATAGTCTGCTAGCTAATGTTTCCTAACTACTCCAAATGTATGTTGATTTCATCAAATAACATCACTAACAACATTATTGCACTCCATCGCTTGTAAGAGCAATGCAAGCCATTGACATCAATGACGATGCTCACGGACTTCATTGCCTATCGTCGCCAATAGGATCAATGTATGCCATATCTTATAAGGCTAATGCATGTAGTCAATACAAATTCTAATCTCCTCTGACTTTGTTTCACACTTTCACAACAACTTCAACGCACATCATCAAATATATGACTAATGTAAGCCATTGAAACCAAATCCAACACCAACCAACTTTGTTGCCCACCATTGCCATTAACATTAACACTTAATGCATGTCATCGCTTATAAGGCATATGCTCGTCGTCGATGCTTGCTCAAACTTTGAGGTGCGAGGGGCCATTGTCGAATGGCGACTGTGCTCAGAGGTTCGACTATGATTATTGGGCGAGCAGTGGTCCTGCAACGATTGGCAATCGAGCCGAGGTCCATTGATAGTTGGAGGCCAGACAATGGTTTTGTGGCGGTAGGTGGCCAGGGAATGGTTCGGCGGCCGGGTGGTGACCTGATGATGGGCGGGTTGAAGTTTGAAAGCTGTCGGTGGCCATGTGGAAGTACGACGATGGTCGAAGGTTGGCGATCGGGAGGAGGTCTAACGGTCTTTCGATCGGCTGACATAAGTTTGCCTTCGATGGTGCTTTAGTGGAGCTCTAAATCCTTGAAGCCTTAGAGCTCATTTGAATCTCCAGCCAAAGGTTCCAAGCCCCTTTTCATGTGGGAAGTGGTGGTCTATTTATAAATTTTTTTAGAGTGGCATGCCCCATAAATTTGGAGAAGATTTGGGTCAAATTCGGAGTGCTCCATCGGACGACCCATGTTGATCCCCTCGATTATATAGTATTTGTCAAATATTTATGTGTTCAAATGATGTTAGAATTAAGCGATATTGGACTTATTGGATTTGTCTCGTTGAGTCGCTCGATTCGACTATAAGCATATCATATTTAGAGATCATTTAATCATCCAATTTATTCTTTGAATTTTCCAAATGTGCAGTGACCCACCAATTTGGACCCATTTATGTGCGGATTAGACTGATTTTGGAGTCGCTGGGTTTCTCTCTTCAAGACGTTCAATTTGACTATAAGCTTGTTGAAATTGAAGTTTGGATGACCCCGAATTTAATTTTGAAATTTTCTAATTCAAATATGCATCAATATTCATGCCCACTCTAGACGATTTTTTTGGAATGTATCAATATCAAAATAATTGTATATCAATATCTCGATGTAATTTACTTTTGGAGCATTCAAGCTCAAATTGTTTAGAATATTTTTAAGTATTTTTTTTTTTCTCAAAAAATTTATCCACGAGATTTTAATGATTAGTCAAAAGTTAAAGAAAACAATTATATATGTAATAAATTTTCAAATGTATTATATATTTAATTGGAATTAAAATTTATTGGTGGGTAAGTTTCAATTATTCTCATTTTTTATTTGGGGTAGTATTTCGAAGGCAAATATTTTTGTACTAACTATAAGTATTTAAATAAAGCATATTAAACATTATATAAAAAGCTGGAGTAGCTCAGTTGGTTAGAGCGTGTGGCTGTTAACCACAAGGTCGGAGGTTCAAGCCCTCCCTCTAGCGATTGGATATTATTATGTTTTATTAATATTTCATAAATTTTTTGCTACAGCTATGGAGTTTGCAATATGAATGAAGAAAAGAACATCAGGTGCTAACTTAATAAAAGATTTAATCATCATTAATAGTTTCAAAAAATAAGGAAGTTGCATTTTAGGATATTTTCTTCAATAAATTATAATTGATTAATTTTTTTTTAAAATTAAGTTTATATGAATTTCCATTTCAGTCAGTTTTGTTGATATATTCTCAACTATATTTATTTAGTTAAATGCACTCTAGACTTTAAGAATGACAAATTCTGCCAATTTTTTAGTTGTAATGTCCGCCGTTGATGAGCGGAAGATTGCTAATATTATGAAGAGTTATCGTAGAAAGATGAAGAATGCTGGTTGCTGTAATTGATGATTGATTGAATAAAAGGAGAAAAAGAAATCACGTGTCGGATGGTTTGGAGGTCAATTAGTACGTGTCAAGTCATCTGATACACAGCGGTACAAAGTAAATTGGTGACGTGACAGGTCCTAATTGACCTCTGGATGATGTCCGAGTACGAGAATGACAAATAATAATTTTTTATTTGGAACAGATGTTCTGAATCTTCAAAAA